AGAAAGGAGAAGGCTTAGAGTCATAGACAATCGTAGAAAATGCAAGGTAGGCCTCAGGTGCTTACATTCATATTTGTAATACTTAGCACATGTACACCACTGATCAGGACAGGTCTAGCAATCAGACAGAACTTAGTTCTTTACAGTTACAAGGAAAATCTGGAACAGTTATATAGTTAGAAAAAATACAGTGTACTGAACAAACATTATCTCACACGTACAATCAATTTAAACATGGAAATTGATTATAATTTTGCTAAAATATTAACACAAGTATCTTTTGTGCTGCTAAAATATCAGTGTTCCCTCTAAGGAAAATATTGCTACAGTTCTACTGTACCCTGTATTAAAATCCTTTGACTTTTTTTTTTCTGGCAAGACTGACTTGGTAGAAAATCGCAACGGTCATGTAACGGGTTTCGGCATGTGTTGTACTGGGAGTCAGACGCCCCTGGTCTACGTAATGGGAGGGATCTCTCCAGTGCTTTCCCCTTGACCTACGCTGCACCAGGTCGCTGCGAGACGCCTAGCTCGAAGCACTGCAGTATACCCGGGCTCATGCTCTTGACTCCTGGGCTCGGGACAGGAACCCCTTGGCAGTGGGACTGAGTTCCTGAAGAGTTGCCACGACTTCCTCGGGCGCGGGGGACTCCCACATGGATGCAACGTTATCGCCAAGCGGAGACGAGAACAACTGAACCTAAAACCGGAGACCTTTTTCAGGCTGACAGACGTTACATGAAACATTGTTTTTTTGCTATTCTCATCACTGGCAAGTAAGTCTGAGTCTTTCAGGTGCAGTAAATGCCGCGCTTGCTGTGCGGGCGTATTTTAATCCGTTCCGAATGGCACGAATTCAAAGTAGCTCCGTTTTTGTTGTTGATGGGGAAGGTTTTTGACAAGGCGTCGCTGTTAGTTCACACGTGTATTTGCAGTTTCAATAGCCACGTTACCGAGGACAAGAGGAGGGAGGGAGGGGTTGCTACAAAGGAAGTGAGGGAAGTCACTTTAACTCTGCTTGTCATGGGGTCTGATAGCATCGGGAGTTTCAACTACGGCACTAACCCGTGTAAGCTGTGCCAACACTGCGTGCAAGGGAGGGTTTGGACAGGGCTGATCCTGCCTCAAGTAGGGGACTTCTGGAGGTCCCTTCCAGCCCCACTTCTCTGTGACTCAACAAGAAATAAAGAGTCTTAAACTGGCTACATTAAAAGCCATGTGATTAGAGCTGTTCCAGGTTAGCAATGGACGATTTTAACTAGGGAGAAAGTTTTCTATCATGACAGCAAGAAATGCAAGCTTGAGCCCATCTGGATGTGTCGGCTCTTCCAGTCCCTCCTCAGGAAACTCTCTGCAAAGTCACTGCCCCTGCACAGCTGGGAAGGTGGGGTGGGGACTGGCCCCATCACTGAATTGAACAAGCCAGTAATTTTGCAGCGGAGACCCAAATATCAATCATTTTTTCCTTTCCGTTTTAGGTTAACTCCATCCCTTCTCTCACGGTAACCGAAAATACGGGCCATCCTCACTCTTCAGTGGTGTCAGCAGCACGGGGCCTTTTCAGTCCTGCTCTAAACGTCTGAATGGCTGATGTATTTCCAGTGGCTGCAGTGTCAAGATGTATCTGCGCCTGAATTTATTTGCTCCCTGTTTCTGATGTCTAGTGGCAGTTTCCCATATAAAGAGCCAGGTTGGCTTGTGATGTCTCATTAATCAGACTTACACTGGAGTCGGGGGGGTGTTAACAAGCCCAGACCTCTTGTGTGGGCAACTCTGAATGACTGAGCGAACGCAGCGTTGGGAGGAACTCGCTGTACGCGTGCAAACTCTTCAGTTTGATGAACTTGCCCCAGGGGGGGTTGAACTGTAACATGCCGCTTTGTCTACAAGTGACCTCTCAAATTAGCAGCCAAGCTATTGCTGAACAGGTTTAGAACAAAAACTTCTTAGATCCTAAACAGATAGGAAGCTAAAGCACAGACGTGATTTGGTTACTCAACATAAAAGCCCAAAACAAACCGAAAAACCCCTACTGTGATGCACGAATCCTAAGCTAAAGTTTGCCACATCCGGTCAGGTTTTTGTACAGTAAATATATACAAATGGAAACAGCACGGCTAGGATTTCTTTTCAAATTTGGCACTTCCCATAGGCTGGACTTTCTACGCTGTATAAGATCGGTCCATAGCAGCTTCCGGCTGTAGGAACAGTACAAGGCTAGTGTCCGCTAGAGTGAATGGGAGCTGCGCGGGCAGTCCCGGGTTCATCAAAGCGAGAACGATTCTGCGTTAGCTCTGGAAGAACGAGATAAATATCAACTCATCAGCTATTGTGTTTTCTAGCAGGAGGACTACTGTCTGCTTCTCCGGGCGCTTGGCGAAATGCAATGCTAGGATGCCTGGCGTTACAAGCCACAGCATTAGAGAATGTATCACCTTTTGCCTCGCATGTTTGGTGTGGTAGCAACCTTCCTTCTATTTGGACTTAGAGGGAACACTGCTTTTATAAAAAACCCTTAGACAGGTAAGACAAGAACCAATACCACTGTACAGAATTCACTGCACAACTAGCTAATAGTAAGTAACCCAGCACTGACTTGCCACATGAAGGAAATGGTACTTAATACATTTGCAATCAACCAGTTAACTGTACTGCACCATAAGATGTGGTCTATTTTTACATGACCTGGCTGAGCCCGCCGTCCTTCAGTATGCTGGCACTTGGTAGCCCTTCGGGTTGGCGTCGAGGGTCTCGGTAAACGGGGGGCTCTGGTAGGTTTCCGTGCTCTCGATCCCAGTGCCAGTGGGGTAGCCCGGGTAGCCTGCGTCGGGGTCAGCCGCAAACTGATCCGTGGCAAAAAGAGACATGTCAGTTCCCAGGCGGTATCTCTGCAGGGCCTTCACCGTGAGGCTGACCTGTAACCAGAAGGAGGGAGTTAGGAGAGGCGGCAGCGGATCCTGATTGCATTGGATGAAGTCTTGGAGGAAAGGGGCAGTGGCAGGTAGCTATCGAGCACAGGAGCGAGGGGCACAGTCTTGAATCAGAATGGCCTGGACCCTAAATGCTGGAGGCTGCAAGTGGGAGAGGAACAGGGGGAAAAACCCTGGTCAGACCCAGTTGCCTCTCCCTTCCAGCCTCGGTGCTCTGCCCCCGTGTGACACGAGCCCAGGCAAGATGGACCTGTGGTCGGACCCAGGAAAAGGCGGTTCCCATGTTCTTCTGTCCTAATGCTGCAAACCCCTGCTGTATCGGCTCCCAGTGCATCTCAGTGGCTGAACTGGGCGGGGTGACAGCCCCACCGCCACCCCCACCGGTTCCCAGCCCGTTCTGCGGAGGCAAATCTTCCCTGTCTCCTGCACCAGTAAGTAGGTCGGTTCTGCAGAGACGCCTTTGCCCTTCCTGAGGGTTGCAAGTATTCAGGTCACAAATGGGGGGAGCCGCGAGTGCGACACGCTTGCTTTTATTTCAGGCCATTTCATTAACAAGTCAATTAGCAGGAGGGGTGACAGGCCTGTCGGTGGAGCGCACGGGCTGTGCCGGCTGGCCCCGAGGCGCCCAATGGGATCGGGTTATTCCCCGTGCATCAAATGTGCCCAGCACAAAGAGCAGGTTCGTGACCACAGCGCCCAGCACCTGTTACCTGAGATGGATTAAACCCAGCCGCAGTGATGCCCTCACGCTCCTCGACCGGGTCCCTGCCTCTCAAGGTTGAGCCTCTCTCAGGCCTGGCCTGTGCCACACGCTTTGCTGGCATCGCTCTGTGTCCCCGGGGTGGAGGCGGGAAGCAGCCACGCTGGGGGATGTCCCAGGGCCAGGCCTTGCCTACCAGGCTCAGGTGGCGTTTGCCGAGATGCTCGTTCTCCTACTGCAGCGCAGTGAGTTTGCTGCCTGTGGGGCTCGTCCAGCGGCCGGAGCAGCCCGCACGGGGATTGCCCCATTCCCACTGCGGCTAAGGAAAGGCCCCAGCGACTACCAGGGTGCAAGGGAGCGCGAAGCGTGCCAGGAACACTCCAGGAGGCTGCTTCCTGCACGGTGATGCAGCGCTGGGGAGTGTCTGGAGGGTCGTTTCCTTTATCTCCAGTCGTCCCCTGAGCACCGGCTGCCAAGGCTGAAGTGAGGACACTTCCGACCTTCCCTCAAACTTGGCGGGGGTGCCGGGAACGCGAGGGAGGAGGACAGTGGAGTTCCCCGGAGCAAGGGCACCTGGAGTTACCCACGATCCTTTCCCAAGGCTGAGTTTCAGTATGTCTGGACTGCCGCAATCTCCCCATGAAACCCTCTGCCGCAGCCAGCTCTCGGTTCCTCTTTCCAAGCCTGCCCTGCGCTCAGCCCTGGTTCTGTTTCCTGTTTTGTTTCCCTCGTCACCGTTACTCTACCTCGCCCGCTGGCCCCCGGTCTGCCTTGCTCAGGCTAAGAAGGGAGTGTGCAAGGTGCTGTACAAAGCTCACAGCTAAGGCCTGGGGCCAGGCTGCTGGAAGAGGGGCACAGTGAGTGCTCTGCCATCCTGCAAGGGGCCCGGTCCAGTGAGTCCTTGCAGAGTCAGCCCCTCACTGACACCCCCTGCACGGATGGGCCCTGCAGCAGCGCTGGTAGGGGCCCAAGGGCTCCAGTTTGGGTGAGGAGCAGCAGCAACTTGGCACCGTGTGCCAGGGGTGAGTCCAAGCGAGAGGGCACCACGCGGCCGCCCGTCTCCCTCCAGCACAAGCCGGGAGCTTCTGCCTCGTGCCCGAGCCGTTCTGAACTCACCCAGGTGAGGATGGAGAAGAAGGAGAAGGCGATGGCTGCCCGGGCGGCATCGGCTCCTTGCCACACTCCCTTGCTCGACGGCGTCCGCTGCCACTGGTTTGCTAGGAAGCAGAAGGCGACAAACCACAGGAACGACAGGATCCCTGGAACGGGAGGAAGATCCTTGGTGCTGCGGCTGCCGGAAGAAGGAGCCTCCCGGGGGCTCTTACGCACACAGCTAGCATGGCCTGGGTGCCCAGAGGGGAGCAGTGATTTGGGGGCCTTGCTTTCTGGGGGCCCAACCTAAGCTGGCACGAGGAGGCGCGACTCAGACGTGCCGAGCACCCGCTTCTGAAAGCATGCAAACCCGCCAGCCCAGGTCCCAGCCAGCGCCTTTCACCCACACCCAGGCTCGACCCCACCAACCCGCACCCAGGGCTCGACCCACACCCAGGCAGGAAGTCCCATGGCTTTCTGTGGGGCTGCTAGGCTGGTGTACGTGCTCTACCTCCCCGTGGAAAACCTGCGAGGGCCTGTGACAGCTGAGTGGGAACATCAGGGGCTATCATGAACTCAGCTCTCACAGCTCCTGACCCTGGGGGCTTTAACGATGGGAAGCAAATTGCTGGACAGCATCCTAGAGCCCTTCCTCCGGCTGTGACAGGTCCTGCACCCTCCTCCTGGCTTGTCGCTTGTTTGGGTGCAGAAGGGACAGCGGGAAGAGGAACCCACTGGTTATTTCCCCTTGGAGCTCAGGGCTGGATGAGACACCGCTCCTCCCACCCAGTCACCCGCCAGCCGCAGGGGCCGATGGTGAGATTTCCCGGGCGAGCAATGCTCTCATGGACCGCCAGCCTCAGCCACATGTTGTTGGGGCCTGTCACAACCTTCAGTGGGAAGGAGGGAGCTGCCTAAACCTTATGTGGGGTTCCCAGTCCCCAAGGCGACTGTGCTGAGGATCCTCCCCATACACCTTGCCTATGACGCACAATGGGAACAGCACGTGGGGGTCTGGGCAGCAGTGTCGGGAGGGGGCCTGAGGTCCCCTGAAGCTTTAAAAGGGCCATTTGCAGATTGCAGGCATTAGCTGTGCCGCCAGCCCCATGGTCCGAGTGGCTGCAAGGACAGAGAAGCAGCAGGGCCTGTTCCCATCTGTGCATTAAAGAGTATTACACTGAACAATGGGATGCCTTGTAGGGCACCGGAGCCAGCAGACACACACATGTGCACATACACACACAGAAACACACGTGTACGTGCATACACACACAGACCACAAATATTTTTTGCTGCCCTGTGTGAGAGGAGAGAGTAGCCATCAGGAAGCATCTCATAGAGGATCATGGCAAGGTCTCACAGGGAAGCTTCAGCTGACTTCGCTGGAGCCGTGCATCTGCGTCTGACCCAACTTTCAACCACCTCTCAGCACAGAGCCCGGATCAGAAAAGCATCTCTGGGCAGAGACAAAAATGACGATCCCCCCCGCCCCCTCGAAGCCAGGAGTAGTGCTACTAGCCTTGGAAACAAGACCCCAGGAGCACTTGTTCAGTCCATTGATGATGATTCAGGTGGGAAGGGAGCTCAGGAGGCCACATCTAGTGCAACCCCCTGCTCCCAGCAGGACCAGCCCCAGCTACATCATCCCAGCCAAGGCTTTGTCTAAAAACCTCCAGGGATGGAGTCCACCACCTCTCTGGGTAGGCTTTACCACCTTCCTCATGAGAAAGTTTTTCCTAATATCCAACTTTGCTGCAGCTTGAGCCCATTGTTCGTTCTGTCATCTGCCCCCACTGAGGACAGCCCAGCTCCATCCTCTTTGCAGCCCCCCTGCAGGGAGCTGGAGGCTGCCATCAAATCCCCCTTGGTCTTCTCTTCTGGAGACTCAATAAGCCCAGCTCCCTGAGTCTCTCCTCACCAGACCTGTCCCCCGGCCCCCAACCATTTTCACTGTCCTCCGCTGGACTCTCTGCAATGCGTCCACATCCTGCAGTGGGGGCCCACAGCTGGACACCAGACTCCAGATGTGGTCTCCCCAGTGCTGAATAGAGGGGAACAATCACTGCCCTCGATCTGCTGGCAACCCCTACCAATGCAGCCCCGGATGCCGTTCACCTTCCCGGCACCAAGGGCACACTGCTGGCTCCTACCCAGCTTCTTGTCCCCTGTCCTGTCCCCCCAGGTCTTTCTCTGCAGAGCTCCTGCTCAGCCAGTTGGTCCCCGGCCTGCACCGGCGCAGGGGACTGTCCCATCCCAAGTGCAGCAGGAGCCTCCGCCATGGGATGGCAACACAGGACTGTCAAATCAGGTCCCTGTGAGGGGCTTGTTGAGATATTTCAGAGCTGCTCTCGACTTGCCTGGGACTCAAAGCAGGAGAGGGAACAGGCTGTTCTGTTTCGATCCAAAGGAGGCGGCTGACGACTTCATTCATGTCCTGGCAGGTGCTTGGGCTCTGGCACACCACCCTGCACCTGCACGGGGCTCGGCGCCTGCCCTCTGGCCCAAGCTCCAGGCTGGGCAGGGTCCTGCAGAGACACCCAGGGCAGCTCCCCTGCTCAGCTGGGCATGCCGCACTCGCTCTCACTGCCCCTGCAAGCAGGTATTTCCTCTGGTCCCACTGCAACCGGTCCCGGGACTCGCACTCCCCTATGAGCACCCACTCTCCATCGGCGTGGCACCGATCTCTACCCTGTCTCCTTTCCAGGAGAAGCCTCCAGGCCACAGCACTTCGGGGTGGAGATGGACCAGCGCTGCTCGTAACAGCTGGTGCAGGCGTTTCGGGTGTCGGATGAATTTGCCGTGTGTGTGGGGGGCTTTGTGTCCGAAAGAAGGGGCCTGAGATGGCCACAGATGCCTACCTTGGTGAGAAGTCTGCTCTATCACGTACAATTCTCCCTGACCGCTGAGCACACAGTGAGGAAACTTCTAGCCTTATAAAATGGAGGCAAGGGGCTGGGAAGAAATACCGGGTGGGCCAAGAGGCCCCTTTGCTGCCCGTCTGTCCTTCTTCCTCTCTGCTGGGCCACGGCCAGCTGCAGGAGGGAGGCAGTGGCACGGCAGTGAGTCGTGGCAGCCTGCAATGGGCACGGGGAGCGATGTGAACAATTCGGTGGGGAACAATACTCTGCCCACTGGGCCGTGACGACCTGCAGCAGCGGCTGGTGACAAAGCCTGGTCCTACAGCAGGTTTCTACATCGCGGTGCCCCTGCTACCTCTCCCCGAGCCGCGGAGGAGGGGTGTGAGGCTGCAGCTTGTCGAGGGCAGCGGCAGGCCTCCCACGCTCCGTGCGGGCTGCTGGAAAGAGCCTGGGGGAGAGGGAGAGCTGCTGATTGTGTTCTGAGCGTCCTCTCTTTTCATTCACGTTTGATCACCTGGAGAGCTGGGCCCACATGCACGCGTGCATGCACGTGTCTGCATGTGTGTGAGTGCTTGCGCACGCGTGTGTGGGTGAGTGCATGCATGCATGTGCAACTGTGCCACCTGCCCACGGGACTCGGCACTCGCCCGCGTTCCTCCCATCCTGCCTTTCCCAAGGGTGCCCGGGGGGGAAGCGCTGCTCATTCATTTCTCCCTTGGGAGCTGGTCCCTAATTCTGCCTCGGAGAAGACCCCCTCCTGCTGGACCTTGCCTTCTCCTCCCCCTTTTCCAGCACAGAGCCCCCAGGGAAGCACCAGCCTGGGTGCAAGGAGGCTCCTCAGACACGCCAACCTTCGCTGTGTGCGGGACCCGGCTGGGCCAAGCTGTTCCTGCGATAGCAACGGGGAAAGGAGCTGCCCATCCGTGGACCTGGTTTTCCCCATGCTGCCTGGCTCCTTTCCTTCCTGACTGAGCACCCTGGATACCTGCGGGGGCTTCAAACACCTGAGACGGGGAAACACAACGTCTCCCCAAGAGGCAAATGCAGGTCAGACATGACTTTGGATCTGGCAGCCACGCGACTGAACCACGGCTTTGCCTCTGAATGGGCTTTGGACTTCCCTCCCAAAACCTTGGCTGCAGGGAGGGCGGCGGGGAGCCGGCAGCTGCTGAGGAGGAAGCTAAGCCTTGGCATGTGGGGGCAGGAGGAAGGGACGTCCGAGGTGGGCCAGGCATCCCCTTCCCGCCAGGAGCCTGGTTCTGAGCCAAGCTGCACGCGGGCCCGAGGGCCCCCCGTAACAGAACCGCGGACCATGGCGCGACAGCAAAACAAAAAAAAAACACAACAGAGGAGACTGTTGAGACAAACGGTAAAAGCCAGCGGATAATTATAGTTTTGGGATCTGCAGACAACAGAGTGCAAACACCGGGAAGGAGATGTTACAGCCGTAATTACAGGCTGGTTCAAAACCAGTGCACTTCTAAGGGAGCAGCTGTGCGAGCAGATGGAAGAGAGCTGCAAGTGCCGGCAGAGGAGCGCGGTGTCCGCGTCTGCTCCGTGTGCGCCGCAGCACAACTGTCCACCCCCCTCTTGGAGGGACTTGGGCTCCAAAGCCCGTTTCCCTTTGCAACAGCAACACCACTGCCTGGCCAGGGACAGGGCAAGCCTGGAGAGCTCGACTGCATCCACCCTTCACAGCTCCACCGTTCATAAAGGCAGGGCTGGGACAGGCTTCCCACGGACCGCCGGAGCATGCAGTCTTCTTCCAGGGGAGAGAAACCTTGTGACTTAACTCTTTTTTGTCTGCTGCCCCTTCGTCACGACCTTCAAAGATGATGATCTGCAGTAACGACCGGGTGGCGCTGACAGCTGTGCTGCGCGCGTGTCTTCATGGATGGATGGATGGAGGTGGGTGGGCGCATGCACGGAAGGACACACAAACAAATCCCATCCTTGATGGAGCTACGTGGATTTACATCGGTTGACAACATAGCTGGGCTACTTCAGCACATTAGTAGCATTGGCCAGAAATCTTCTTCCCAACCACTTGCAAAATGTGCTCTGTTCCACAAAAGGACGCCAAAACCTCCGCTGTCACATCTCTCCCCACACCATTCACCTGGGACCCGAGACGCTCTCCTGCTGAAACCCTCATTGAAATCGAAGTGTCTCTGTGAAATGACAAGATGTCTCAACTCCTCCTGTCTATCCATCCATCCACTCACCTACCCATCCATTTTCTTTTATCTGCATTTGTAGTTCAGTCTTTTCCCAGATTGTTTTATATGTTTTGGGGGGTTTTTTAAGTA